GTGTGTGTCTGTGGTGGTGAAGTGTGTGTGTGTGTGTGGTGATGCTAACTTCAGTGTGTGTCTGTAGTGAGGTGAACTGTTTGTGTGTCTGTAGTGAAGCTAACTTCAGTGTGTGTGTCTGTCTGTGGTGAAGCTAACTTCAGTGTGTGTGTGTGTGTGTGTGTGTGTGTGTGTGTCTGTAGGGAAGTGTGTGTCTGTTGTGACGTGTGTGTCTGTTGTGACGTGTGTGTGTGTGTGTGTGTCTGTGGGGAAGCTAACTCCAGTGTGTGTGTCTGTAGTGAAGCTAACTCCAGTGTGTGTGTCTGTAGTGAACTGCAGACCGGAAGAAGAATCACGTGTACGGTTGTTTCCTCTCTGACCTCCAGGGTGTATGTGTCCCAGATAGCAGTGAAGTTCTCCATGGCGGCGGCCGCGGTCTGTTCGTCCATGTTCAGCTCCTGACACAAGATCTCCAGACTCCTCCGGATCGACCTCTCCTCCATCCTCCCCGACTCCGACGACTCTTCGCCCCGCATTCGTGCGGAAAACCTGCGCGATCGGTTTGGACCGAGTTTTGAAAATGTATAAATCCGCCCTCGGGAGTTTAAACCCTCGTAAACACGCCGCCTCCTCAACCCCCAGCTTCCTGCGTCCACACGGCCGCGGCACTTCCGCTCTCCGTCCCCACAATGCAAAGCGTTGGCGCGAAAACTGCAGCGCAGCGACCAATCAGAGGCGAGCGCAGCGACGGAGTCGTTACTAGGCAACCGCCCGCGTAGCTGCCGTCAATCAGTTTAAAAGTCAATTTAATGTAAAATCATCGAGGTTAATTAATCATATTTAAATTCTCAGCACTGATTAACATCTCATATTATGTGTCTGATGTGTCTGGTGTGTATTCTGTTTTTGTTTAACGCTTGATTGTAATTCTCGTGTGTTTTAAGATCATATTGTGTCTGAGTAGTTTTGTGTTTTTATATTTATTTGAATAGAATCCAGTGACCCAGAGGAAGGCCTTGTGTTCACAGCCCTCTCGCCTGTCTACAGTCAAACTAAAGAAGACGTTTAGAAGGAATCCCTACATTTAGATTAAAATGTACAAAAAAGAAATGTGCTGCACTGACAACGTAATGACATTTATCTGAACCACACCAACTGTATTATTGGATGGTATAATGATGAGCTGTTGTCCCCAGAGGATCATTGAGTATAATGTACTTTTACTACCTCTGTTTATTTCTTAACAGCTCTGTGAATTACTGTAACAGCATATTTATGTTAAATACATATTTTCCTGGCCCTCACTGAACCTACTATCTTTAATTAATTTGCTAATTTTCTTGTTCCCCAAAGGATATTGTACATCTGCGCCTTTAATCGTACAAAACAGACAATACACTTGTGACAATATTCCTAAATTGATCATATTTTCAAATGAACAGACCTGTTCAAATAATTGATTGTGACGGTAAATATGGATTTGATAGATTCCATTTCATCCCCTGGTGTGCTGAGGTGCTGATAGACAAACTAACCACTGGAGGGAAATGACAGCTAGATGATTAAACTGCTGCACATGTTCGACACTAAAGGAATCCAGTAATTTTAATCATATAACAAATTGTAAATCAATACGGCTGAATACATATTATTATTACTCTCTGGGTTAAATTAACACATTTGTGAGTTTTTTGGGGAGGGGTGTTAACAAACATAAAGATACACAAAGTAAATACTTTTAAAAAAACAAGGAAATAAAAACACTCCACAGCTTGTTTATTAATGTTTATTATGTTTGTGTAAAGAACCAGAAAAGAAACTAAGAGAAACTCAAACCTCAGGGAACACATCTGTAGACAGATATGACAAGTTTACCTGCATCAATCTCAAAAAGCAAATTTCCACAAAAGATTCTTGGTGTAAAACAACTTTGTGTTGGATACAAAACATGGACACACCCTATATCACAAGTACAGCGTGTATAATATATCCCAGAAATATCTACAAGACTACAATATTTTTATTTTCTTAGTCTCATCACAGATTAAATGATCATTGACAATGAAGCAGCAGTCAACTATTCATCATCAACCCTAAAGAATACAATCAACACACTGAAATATTGATATATGATGTTAGAATCACCAGTTCTAGTTCCAGTGTTTGTGTTTTATGCTTAGATTATGAATTTTTAAAATCAAGTAAAAGTTAGTAATTAAATGCACCCCACACATTTAGAGATGTGTGTGTGTGTGTGTGTGTGTGTTGCTCAGTGTGTGCTGTATCTGCTGTTATCTCTGGTCTCAGTCGTCTTTATCAGCAGCTTTGGAGCAGGAGAGCTGCTGTTACTGTGGTACCCGTTAGTACTTTTAGTACCTGGACAAAGACAGAGAGATGCAGTGAGACAGTATATGAGAAATAACTGAAAGTAAGTGACAGTAACGTTATTGAAATCAGAGGAAACCAGGTGATGATTGTTTCTGTTCTGATTTCAGTTTAAATCAAATTTCTTTGAAATCTAATTTTCTAAACTCAAATTGAAAACTAATTATGAATCATCATCGAGCTTCTCTCCCTTCCTCTGGGTTTGTGCTCCACCTCACTTTGTTACTTACTGTAGCTGGAGACGGAGTGAATGTTGAGGATGGACTGTTGTCCCAGTCTGCAGGAGAGAAGCACGAAGTTAGTTTGTTTTTATCAAAGATACAAAGTTTTAATCGCTTATTCTCCTCCGCTCCTCTCACCTGTCCTCCTCTCCTTCCAGCAGCTTCCTGTAGGTGGCGATCTCAATGTCCAGAGCCAGTTTCAGGTTCATCAGGTCCTGCAGGTGAAGATGTGAAATGATTTTTAGATCAGTGTGATGACTTCATTGCTTGACCCTGAGTGGACGTCACTCACCTGGTACTCTCGGAGCTGTCTGGCCATGTCCTGCTTGGCTCTCTGCAGGGCGTCCTCCAGATCTCTGGTTCGGGCCTTGGCTTCTTTCACAGCCAGCTCCCCACGCTCCTCCGCCTCAACCAGCTGGTTCTCCAGGCTGCCACGCTGAGGGTGGAGGGACGGAGCGGTGAGGGTCTGAGTTATCCCGCAGACAAAATTCAGTTTGGCTGAATAACATCTGTAACCCGTACCTGAGCTTTGACGGCCTCTATCTCGCTCTGCAGCCGGCTGATCAGTCGGGTGACCTCGGCCACTTCCCCCTTCACAACGCGGAGCTCGTCTCCAAACTGAGTGGCCTGCACCGACATTTGGTCGAACTACAGAAGAGAGTCATTTAAAACCTGAAACCTGCAGCTGACGGGGAAACTCCTGCCTCGCTGACTGATGAAGTATTTATTTACTACACTTTGGTCTGTTTAACCTTCATCTGGAATGTGAACATATCACATCCAGATGTGCAGATACAGAACCTTCACGGAGTCTTGACAGTAGTTTTAAAGAAACATCTGTTAGAGCTGCTGCAAAACCTAAAAAGCACGGAGGGGGGGGGGGTCCTATAACATGACACCCACCCCATCCTCATAAATGTCTTCTTAGTTTCGGATGGTGGAGCAGGTGAAATTCTGCTTCAGGGCCGTTTTGGATTTCGCTCTCAAATAACACTTGACCCTGCAGAGATGTGAGATCCAGTACATCACCGTCTCCTCATCCTCACCTTGCTCTTGTACCAGGCCTCTGCCTCCTCCCGGCTGCGGGCTGCGATGTCCTCATACTGGGATTTGACCTCAGCCACGATCTGCTCCATGTTCAGGCTGCGGCTGTTGTCCATCTGCACCACCACCGACGTGTCCTTGATGCTGGCCTGCAGCTCACGCAGCTCCTGGTCACGGGGGGAATAAAGTCAACGTGACAAAATGTGCCGAATACGATGTAATGATATTTCAGGTTTCTTCACCTCATCGTAGACGTTGCGCAGGAAGTTGATTTCGTCACTCAGAGCTCCCACTTTATCCTCCAGATCTGCCTTCACCAGGTAGGCTGAGTCTACATCCTGGACACACAGAAGCAAAGATCATACACAGAGATGATTATTAGAATTGTTGGTTCTCCTCCCTCCTTTTCCTCTCGTTTCTTGTGCCCCCCCCCCCCCTGTGCGTCCTGAATGTGAAATTGACTTTATTCCCATGTGGTGACAAAGCATTTAGGTGTTTTGATGCATGTGGGAGAGAGACGGAGGACGAGAGACGAGATAGCCAACAGGCACAATGGAACAAGAACAATAGAGTGGTTCATCTTACTCACCACACCTGTAATGTATGAATGAACGTGCGTGTGTGTGTGTGTGTGTGTGTGTGTTGACCTTCTTCAGGATAACAAAGTCGTTCTCCAGGTTGTTTCTCTTGTTAATCTCGTCCTCGTATCTGTGGCAGATTCAGGACGTTGCGTTTAGTTACACGACTAAAATGTTTTATCACAAAAACCAATGACGTCCAATGTCAGCGCCTCATTATTTACTTGTGTTTATAGTCCTCCACCAGGCCCTGCATGTTCCTCAGCTCCCCGTCCAATTTGGTCTTGTCGTTGTTGACCAGGTCCATTTGGCGCCTCAGTCCCGCCATGTAGGCCTCGAACAGGGGCTCCACGTTGGAGCGGCCCACCCCCTGACCGTGCAGCAGCTCCAGCTTAGTCTCAAGCATCTTGTTCTGCTGCTCCAGGAAACGCACCTGAGGGATGTGACACAGAAGTTAAAGGGTTTTTATTTTTTTCAGATTTGAATTTAATTGATTTTGTGTTTAGATCACTACAATACACAGATGCATGCCAATACAACACATTGTATATTATTTGTTTGTTTAATTTATATAAATAAATGATTATGCATTGTGTTTACTGTTCAGATATGAGAGTGGTATCCATCCTCTCATCTGACACTTTAAAGTGTACTTCACAAAGTTTCAAACTACTTTTAAAATGTTAAATATGTAAATTAATGTGTAACAAAGCTTTTAAATAACTGTGGTACATGAGAGTCAGTAGTGAAAATGTAGTTAATGGTTGAAATTGGTTTATTATTCAACAGATAATAACATCACATCATGGAACTATCGTTTAATAATTCAAAAGTGAACTTGATCAAACTAAATAAAGTTCATTGTCACTTTGATAACGGTACGACCTGCTGCTACACAAACGTTTATGACTGAGACGTTCGTTACAACTGTTATTACTCATGTTTACAATAACTAAATGAATATAAGTGCTGATGGATTGTTGACCTGCTGAATCTCTAAAACTGGATTTCATTCCTCTCGTCAGTAAACATCTCACATATCAGGATTCTTTAAAATAGAAACTTCTCGACTCAACATGACTCTAGATTCGAGCGAGAGGACGTTGAATAGTTTGGGTAAACAATCATAGGTTCATTCCAGAAGAAAATCCAGCTCGATGTCAACGTTGTCCTCCAGGTCTGTATCTGCACAGCTCAGGTTTCCTGCCCACAGGTAAACCCACCAGCTATTATACGTCCTCCGCTCAACACAAAGCCTGTTTTCTGTTCGGGGCAGGATTATCTGCCTCTGATGCACAACCACGCCGTCTCTCACCCAATATATCAAGTTTCGACTTGACTCAATGGAACGGAAATGGGGCAGAGGGCTCAAATATCCAGTGGCCCAGTACCAGCAGCTATTCCAGGGTTTGAATGGTTGTTTAAATCCCAGATGCATTCGCTGAATTCTTATTTTGCTTCTCATGGTTTGAAGTCTCAGATCAGATCTAAACTGAGTTATCATCCTGCATCTTAAACTAATTTGTGTCTCCGTGGCTCAAGATTGATCATTTAGATAAATAAGCAAAGATCAAATCAGACCTAGATTCTTTTTTAAACACCAGGTTGAAGTTTTCTTGTCTTTCCTGCAATTAAAACCTCTGAGGACAAGGAATCTTTTGTTTGTGACCTGTTCTCTGGGAAGTCACATCAAGCATCTCATCGACAGCGAGGAATGAACAACGCTTCAAATGTTTTGCAGGAGGTTTCACAATATTTTGGCTTGTGACATTGAAACTGATCTGCAGCCAGGTCCTGATCTTTCTTCAATCTTCTTCCTAATTTTATTGCTTTTACTAACAACTCTGCAGAATCTCAGAAGAACACTGAAATAAATTACTGATGGTAAAAATAGCATGCATTACACACCAGTTCCATATTGAAGAAAAGTATTATGAGACTAAAATAAAAAAATTAATAAATGAGGAAAAAGTCATTACATTTTGAGAAAGAAAAGAAATAACCAGCTGGGAGAATTAATTTCTGATTGTTTTCGAGAAGCGACAAATAAAACCAATGATAACGTCACATTCGACCAAACATTCCTGTGTGGTTCTTTCTTCACATTAGACCGAGTTTCTTACGCAATCTTTTTAAATTCCTGATAAACTGATGATCAAAACTTGAATATTAAGTTATTTAGGAGACTAAAGAAGAACTCAATAACAAGAAGACTTCTAACACTTAATTTAAGCATCAGTTTATCATAATACCATCACCTCCACTTTATATCACACTGAATCTATTCACTGCATTTTATTGTGACTGTATAAGTGAACTTCCTGTTCTAATCCTTTGTTTTCCTGCAGTAGAACTTTCACATGTTGTTGTTTTTGTGTGTTTAGTTGCACTGGGACACTTTGTTCTCTGGACGTAGCTGCAGACTGATCGCTCTGCTCCTCAAAGATAAAACCTTGAAGACGTCTGTGGTCGAGCTCTAAGATAACCTCATCCCCTGCCTTCAAGATTAATTTTCAGCTTTGTGTAACTTTAATATCAAAAGTTGAACCTTCCAGATCTATGTAATAATACAGTTTTGACCTCTGTGTGATGCATTTAAGTCTGTTAGGAAAACAGAGGTTTATTATGTACGTTTGGTCGAGCGGATTTCCGTCCAGCGCAGTGCTCGGCCTCTCTGTGCCTGAAGTGTATCTGTGCTGATGTGAGAAGCCAACAAAGCCTCCATTGTGAGGGTTTGTTACAGACTCCGTGAGAAAGCAGAGATGTTCTCTAAGTACGGTATCGATGTCGAGCTTCGTCACCGAGCTGCTCGCTCCGTCTGTGGGAAACGTGCACAGCCTGTGTTCTTCAGGAGCCTCAACACAGATGCTTCTCACATTTACCTCCATGTTCACACTTTCCTAACACCCAGTAATTTACTGTCACCGCTAAAGTATTAACACGCACGGAAAGGTCACGTAAAATGGTTCATTCTGGCTCCTGATCCTGAGATCATGATGGATTCAGTAGAGAATCAACAGTTTGTATCTTCAATAGTTTAATTGTGTCCAAATGATCCTGATGGATTTGGTGCAGAATGGGACAGTTGGGCCTTGGAGGAGGTCTTTCACTCTTTCACTTGAATGTTTCAGCAGTTTAAGCATCAGGACTTTTTTAATTTTGTTGTACTCTATCCTGAACTAAAGCCGAGGTCATGCGGGGAAGGTTCAGACTCTGATTGTGTCGCTGCACGTTTCAGGAGTCGTACGTCTGCTGCATAATTCAAATCAGGAGCTTTAAAAACTGCTCCACTGTTTGTATGAATGTGGACTCAGGTGATTTCTTCTTGTTAAGCTGCGGCTCAGTGACAGAAACTGTGAGTGACAGACAGTCAGACGTTAAAATCGACTGTGTGTGTTTTATCATGTCTGTACGGTGACAGCAGAGGTTGTTCCTCCGTACGATACACTGGTGTAAATGTTTCTCGGTGGTTTTCTCTGACGGATCGACACGACCGCAAACTGTCAGGTTGGTTTTCTCCCACAGAAAGTGAAGGGAACACTTGATCAACAATTTAACAGCTGGGTCTAAACTTAGAGGCAGCGTGAATAAATACCTGTTTTCAGTATTAATTAAGAAACAACACAAAACCACAAATTAGAAATAGTTTAAATGTCTTGTCTGTCGTGTGTGAAGGATTGTTCAGCCCTGGCAGGAGGATACGCTCTCCTGAGTTACATTCCAGTTAATAATTAATGAGCAGAACAGATACTTTGAATTAGCTGCAGATCATGTTCAAGCTTAAAAGTGACAGTGAAGGATTATAATGAAAACGTAGACGCAGTTTAAGAAGTTTCTTCAAACTGCAAAACTAACTTGGTCAATGTCAATTAAATACGTTTAAAAACCCTGACTGCATTCAAAGTTGAGCTTTTCTTTCAACATTTAGTTTGTAGTAAAAACTATTTATGATTTCTTTGTGGAAGCTTCATACATTCTTCAAAATATTATTACATCAATATTCAACTATATCGATTAATGGACTATTTCCTCGCTCGTCCTTTACCTTGTCGATGAAGCTTGCGAAGCGGTTGTTGAGGCTCTTGATCTGTTCCTTCTCGTGGGCTCGGCTCATCGACAGGCTGGGGTCGATCTCCAGGTTGAGGGGGGCCAGCAGGCTCTTGTTGACCGACAGGGACGCCAGGGGGGCACCCAGGCCGTGGTGATGCCCGTTGGCGCCCGTGTACAGAGAACTGCTGCTCAGGGAGACGCCGGTGAAGCCCCCCTGACCTGGACCGTAGCCGCTCAGCCTCCTGGACGCACTGCTGCTCCTCACAGAGCTGCTGGAGCTGATTCTCTTGGTACGACTCAGACTCATGGTGGCGAGAGGTGGAGGGATGCAAAGTGATGAAAAGACGAAGAGTAAAGAGCGAAGACCTGCGGGAAACAGACTGAGCTGAGCAGAAATGACTGAGTGAGAGGAGCAGAGGGAAACAGGTGAGTGTCTGACCACAGAGACGGTCTCAGGTGTCTCACGGCCTTTTAAACGTCCCCAGGGTGGGTTCAGAGGAGGAAAGAAACTGGAGCACAGGGGAGCTGTGGTGTCACATATCCAGGTGAGTGGAGGTGGGGGTGGGGGGGTGGGGGGTGATAGTGGACAATCTCTCTTTGATAAAATAAAATCATCATTTACCTTTACCCCCTCCCTACACCATGAAACTCCAAACCTGTAAATTCACCTTGTGGAACAATCTGAACCTTGAATAATAAATAAAACATTTTGTTGATAAAAGGTATTTTCTACTTGTCGGTGTGTCAGTTCCTCCACGACCTGAGACCTTGTCCTCAGTTTGTTATTTCACCGCGTTTTGAATTTTGTAGACCTTCTCAGTGACATCATCCCGTAGGTCGGTGGTACTGTGTGGATTGATTTGAAAATATGTCCGTGTAAAACAATAGAGTGTGAACAAAGACAGATAACACATCGCCACCTCCGCCACCTACTGTGTAGACATGACACCACAATATCAACCTCAACGTCCAGGCGTCAGAGTCACGTTGATACACAAGCCCGACCAATCATGAGTCAGTTTCCACTGTTAATCATTTTGATATAATTTAATTAACACATGAATATACGTCAGTGCGCTTGTATTTGTTTAGTTTGGTCCATGTCCCATTTACTAACATGGAGGATTTACAACCTGTAGTACATTCATCCACCAGGGGGCTAAGGGCTTCACTTTTGGGGATCAGTCAGGTTGTCCTTTATGTAGTCTTTTTTTTTGGGGGGCCACATGAAGGCACGACTGACGCAACAGAAAAGAAACAAGACAGTGTTTTAACATTAGTTATTTAATTACATCAAATATGAAAAAAAAAACATCACTGGTTTCTGATTTCACAAATGAAAAAAAAAAAGTTTTATAATTAAGCTCCATTCATGGTCGTCATGGCAACATATTGACGTATTCAGGTACGGTTTGCCTTAGCAGTGTCATGGCTGATGAATTAAGGCGGAACTTGTTTTACTAATTCCTGTCAATCAACTCACACATGTTGAAAAGAATCTGAACTCGTCAGCAGTTCGCTAAATAATTTATTTATTTATTTATTTATTCTCTGGAGTTTGGGTTTGAGTTTTTCTCACGAAGAAACCAGGCAGAATTTTCTCACTGTGTGAACACGAGAATCTGTTTTCAGCCTCAGAAGTGAATCTGGTTTTTCACCAAATACATTTTATATTACAAAGAAAAGAAAACTGCGTTACAGTTGAACAACAGAGTAAAGATTTGTCGACTGACAGCTGCTGCCGAGGATGCTGGGAGCATCCCGGTGGTTTTTGTTCTCCGCCGATGGAGGTGGAATGTTTCAGGAGCAGAGCACCGTGGGATGAGAAGGAGGGCGGGCGCTGTTTTTAAAGTAATGTGCATCTGATGAAAATGTTCAGGTGATTATTATCAGTCATCAAAAACCTCATCAAGAGGAAAAAAAGGAAACCAAACACTGCTTCAACTGTGGTTTCTCTTCTTTCTGATAAAGTGTAGAAACGGGCAAAAAGATGTCCAGCTCATTCTGAAGCCTTAAAAAAAAACTGATTACAAACCAATCGCTGCGGACGTTTTGTTGTAAGTTTAAATGTCATGTTTATTACTGTTGTGTGTGTGTGTGTGTGTGTGTGTGTGTGTGTGTGTGTCACTGCTCGTTCTGTTGTGTGTCTGTGATGGTGGAGACGGCGCCCTGCCCCTTGCTGACATCACTGATACAAGCCCACTGACCGTCCATCGACTCCTTCCACAACGTCACCTAGAAAAGTACAGGTCGGTAAAAGATCACTTTCCAAACAATGAATCCAGTTCTTCATTGTTGCATTATGGGTAAATCTCTATGACTTTATATAAACTCTACCTTGTTGTCTCCTCCAGAAACAGCCAGTATGTTTCCAGTGATGGACCAGCTGACGTGCCAAACCACATCGTTGAACTTATGGAGCAGCTTGGCCGTCCAGGTGTTTCCGGCCGGGTCGTCACACGTCCAGATGAACACGCGTCCATCCTGGAGGACGGCACAAAGAACATGAACGTGAGAAAGTGAACGTGTCTCATTCAGTGGCAGAGACGACGTTTGGTTTCTAAGTAGCTGTAAATAAAACTCTGCCTCAGAGAATTTAAACTGAACTGGATGTGCTCTCTGGGTCCACCTAGTGGTCCCAGGGAATAACTTCACATCACACCTGACAGAGGAACCAAGACTAAATTTGTCTCTTTTAAAATAAACTGCGGAGAAAAAAAGGAGTTTGGAGAATTCCACATGTGTGGTCTTCATATCTCATCAATGAGGAAGCAGCTGCATTGACTGTGGATCATTTGATGCAGATCAATCACATGCTTTTGGGAATGTCGGAAAATAACTACTCTGACATCATATACCAGTATATAAAGAAGTCCTGATGAGAAGTAGCTCAGTCATTTTTCTGAGGAAACTGGATTTAAAACACATTTAATACCAAGTTAAAGACAAATTGCAAGTTACTTGGGGATTATTTATCATCTATCCGAGTCAACAAGAAGCCGAGATGAGATAAAAATAAAAAAGGACAATGGTGACATTGGGACTGAACTATAAATAAATAAATACATAATGAGACAGTTGGACTGATAATTCATCTTTCAAACTGTTTCCTTGCTTTGTTTTTGCAGCCACCATCACTGTTTGATGATGCACATCTTTGTCGATAAATGTTTAAGTGGAGAGGAGATAAAAAATCTCACCTGGGAACAACTAGCGATGGTGCTGGTGGGAAGACCAATAGATGGAGCCCAGCCGACATCTCTCACCCAATCACTGTGGGCCTCCAGCTTCTGGTCCTCCTTCCACTGACCGTCCTCCTCTCTGGAGGAAAATTAAAAAAAAAAAAATACAGAAAATTGAATCCCTGACAAAAATGCAAGAGTTGAACAAAGAGAGCTAAGATCTCTTCAGAAAACCCAGCGTCTTCTTCATCCTTGTTAAAACCTGGTGCCTACATTACCCACAGTGCAACTCGGCTTTATAAAACATTTTCATGTATGTACCACTATGACCTGTAAACAGCCTGTGATGTGTAAAATCAACAGAGTCCACTGAAACTCTTAAACTAAATACTTTACTAAACACGAACATACTTCCAGAGTTTGACCAGGTTGTCGCAGCCTCCGGAGACAAAGCGTTTGACGTAGTTTGGTTTCTGTCCTGACGGCTGATCGATGAGGCTGCCTGGAACCACAGCAGGAGCCCAGCTCACTGCGTTACAGCCGATCTGCAGGAAGATCACAACCCAGTTTATAAAGAGACACACACATTATAGTGTCAAAGCAAACGGGATACAAAAATAGAGTGCAGATAAATCAGAAACAAGGAGTGTGGCACTGATAAACAGCAGATAAAGTGAATGTAAACATGCAACACTACATACAATGATTAAATTAAAGTTGGGCATTACTCAAAAGTGTGTGTCAGACTCACGGTGTGTGCGTTGCTGATCTTCTTGACGTCCCACTGCTGATCTCCAGTAAATGTGAGGAGGGAAATGGCTCCGTCTGAGCTGCCGCAGGCCAAGATAAGACCGAATTCATAGGGACCCCAGCAGACAGAGTTCACTGAAGACACACGAGTGGAGTTAAGAAAAGGACGAAGGTCTCAAGAGAACGACACAACTGTCAGAATTTACGAGTCTAATTCACCTGTCAGGACCGACATTATGTTAGTGATAAAATCTCTGTTTCCAAATAGAGGAAACAGATGAGAAGAGAAAGATAAACTAAATGAAAACCTGGATATTTCCAGGGGAAATCCGCGAGAAGAAACAGAGTTTAAACTGTGTAGGAACGGAGCACTGAGACACAGCGAAGGACACAAGACGAGCTCAGGTGTGATGCTATTTCACACGGAGATCTACTGACCTGATGACTCATGTCCGGTGTATTCGTACATCTTGTCCCAGGATCCGTTCTCCTCCTTCCAGATGATGACTTTACGGTCGTAGGAACAGGACGCCAGGATGTTGCCAAACATCGGGTGGGCCCACGCTACCTGCCACACGGGACCCTCGTGGCTGCAACATAAATACAGAGACGTACTCAAACTGAGTTCAAAATACCCTTATGTTGTAAAATATACAGGACAGAACATCTTACACGTGGAACCAGCGTCAGATTTCAGAACATATTAAGTGGAAAATGTCATTAACTGACTAAATGTTTGGTATCATAGTTACGGGATAATAACTTATTATCTTATTGATAATATCATATAATCATATAATGATAATATAATTTCTTTGCTTATTTAACTTTTACAGAAAAAACTAAGGCATAACCTTCACCGAGCCTAAACCTCACTGAAAACAACAATCTCAATAAGAAAATGAAGAAAGAGGAAAAACAATAAAAGTAGCTGTAATTTTATGTCATGTCAAAGTAACATTTTCAGATTTCGTTTCCCAGATCAGTTGGTTTCTTACCCTCTGAGGTCTGCAACCAGTATCTGACCTCCGTTTCTGACATCGAAGATCTTCACGGTGCGATCAGACGAACAGGTGGCAAGTCGAGTGCCGTAGTAATCCATCTGAGCATCGTGCTGAGACACAGAAACAAATATGTTTGGCTATTTAGGTTCAGAGGCCACTGAGTTTGACATCCAGCAGATCAAGGAGCGACATGATGATTCGTCTAAAGTGGTGTTTGTGTCGTCCTGATGAAGCTAACAACAACGTTTACTCTCTTTAAGCTGCTGAGGGAAACTTCTGGCTCTTTAACTCGAGTGAGCTGCAGGTTCTGCAGATAATTCTCATTTCACATCATCACCTCATAAAGTGTCATTATGAACGAATCGATTATTATTATCAATCTTAAACAAATACTTTTATATTGAAAGCAACACCATGAGCAACATGAACAGACTCAAGGTTGTGATTTCTGTGATTCATCATAATTCCTGAGCATAAGATGTGTAAACGTCAACACTGGAATTCAGTCTGAGGAAACAAGAACAAATAGACGTTTCTTATGAAGGAACAATTATATATTTGTTTTTCCCACAAACACAATAGACGACACAGATATCAACTAATTCACATTAAGAGGTGCAACTCAGCGATTTCATTTCAATCCTGATCAATTCAAAGATAATCTAAGTTCATCGATCAGTCATTTGTTCTGTTAAATATCACCTCATACTTTATATCTGTGGAGACTAGGACGGTTTTACAGCTTCACAGAAACGGGACAAATAAATAGAATAAAAGCATCAAATCTCTCAAGACTGCACACAGCAATTGGACTTTTATTTTGAAAACTTGGCTAACCGTTAGCTCTACTGTTTTAACGATGTTGACAAAACCAATCAGCTCAAAACGTCACGATGTTAAATGACAAACAAGCATCGTGAAGACTTGTTTAAATAACTTTGTGTTATTGTATCTGTTAACATCTTAATTCACTTAATGAAACCTGTTTTTCTAGCAACAAGCTAACGTTAGCTTCAACCCGCAGAAACACAACTTACGATCATGTCCTCGTGCGACGTGTCCACCGTGTTGATGACAGAAACCTGGAAACCACAAACAAACAGACACACACGTCACAATTATAAACCACTCAAACGATTAAAGTAAAACTTTAATGGTTAGCTCTCCGCTGTTAGCATGTCTGCTGTTAGCATGTCCGCTAACAGGCTAGCTTCTGTCTAACGTCCGCGGGAGGTGTTCCAGTCGTGAGCTCGTTTGAAACGCTGTCAAACTCACCATGTCTGCGGGAGAATCACAAACTGTGTTTTTTTATTCCTGAATGAATGAGACGAGCTGAGCTTCACCGCCCCGGTGCGTCCGACGTGGCAACAAGTCCAGAGCCCGATCCGTCGACTGATTCCACCGGAGGAAACAAGACACGAGAAGCAAAGGTTCCACACACCACTATTTTTATTTGATTCTCGTTAGAAGGTGAAAAATCAAACACGAGGAAAATCTTACACAACTTTTAAATGCAAATAAAAGAGAGAACACATTTATAATAAATAACAACAAAAAACTACTTACTGCTGTCGGGTTATAAATATTCCTTAATATAGACAGAGAGGATAAAGATCAAATCTCATCCCATAATAATCTTTTGTTTTTGTGTTGGGCTGCATATGTTTCTCTGTTCACGCTCCATTGCTCTGTATGCTTATCTTACCGGTCTGCGGTTTATTATTATGGTGAATTTAGATTTCTGTGTGGAAATGAAAACCTAATTTAAACTGATTTGACCGTTTTGAACCTTGATTTTAACCAAATGTTTGCTCATATTCTGACACTGGCACCACTACATGAATGCTGAAGTCACATTTACGAGTTCCACTTTAAAATGAACACGTGAAACAGTTAGCGGATCCTTGTGATACTGAGTGATGACAAGTTCTGAAGCATCTTTTTTCCCCCTATGATTTCAAAGAGTATTTATGGACATGTATTCACTGTGGACATGAAAGATGATGATATAACTGCAGAGTTTAAATCCCACTTGTGAAGACTTGACTCAGTTATGTAACTTTGGAAACTTCCTCCTGTTTGGTAAAATTCACTCACGCACATTTTATTTCCCACCTCCTTGTTTCCGTCCACACGGTGGCGCTATAAACCCTTGTCCCTTCCGTCTATTTTTATCTGGAGTCTCCCGGTATCAGGTTCCTCTCCCCGGGCTCTGATCCTCTGTCCCCTGCCTCTGAAGCCTCCTCTGTCGCCATGTTGTCAGCTTGAATCTGTTGCTCCGCTTTGATTTAGTTTGATTTCTTATTATAAAACAGAAAAAACTGAAGATGTCGAATGTTTCTTATCACGTGTCCAACCTGTTGGAGAAAATGACGTCAACTGACAAAGACTTTAGGTAAGAAACCGTGTGTGTGTGTGTGTGTGTGTGTGTGTGTGTGTGTGTGTGTGTTTATGTGTGTGTCTGTCTGACAGTGAGATGACACTTTTTACTCCTGACTCTTTTAATCACTCCTGTTGTCATTTTACTACAAATAACTCATTATAGCTTTTCCCCTTTATTTATTTTAAAACAAATGTATGTTTCTGTCATTTTACTACAAAGAAAACTTCTGTTTAGTTTTTAAATGTCTATATCTCAGTTCAATTCTATTTCATTTCAGGTGATTCAGTGATGCAGCTAGTAATAATAATAATAATAGTGATTTTTAACATGTGTGTTGTAATTCTGATGCTACTGTGTTGTTTTAGTTCCTATTAATCCTTTTCATAATACGTTTGCTTTCAAATTAATTGTATATGGGACAGTTTTTAACTGTGTTCCCTAGTTTATAAAGACTAATATAAATAAATAATGCCAAAGAAGCCAGTAGCCAGTCAGATTTACAGATTAATTTTTTTTATTTAGCCATGTATTTTGTGAAGCACTTTGGAACCTTGTTTAGATAAGTGCTGTATAAATAAAGTTATTATTATCATCATGATCCTGATTGCTTTTATTAAACACTTCTGTTTGTGTGGTCGGACGTTTGAGTGTCAAAACAGCACATCTGTTTACCCTCAACTCATCCATCCCTGTGTGTGTGTGTGTGTGTGTGTCTCCAGGTTCATGGCCACTAACGACCTGATGCTGGAGCTGCAGAAGGACAGCATTAAACTGGACGAGGACAGTGAGCGGAAGGTGGTGACGATGCTGCTCAAACTGCTGGAGGACAAGAACGGAGAGGTGCAGAACCTGGCAGTGAAATGGTAAAAATGTATTTACATTTATTGTGACTTCAATTTTTTATTCCAGCTATGTCATAACAGGACACAAGCGATGAATGAAGTTCATCGTAGGTGCGTTTGATTTTCAGCCTGGCCCCTCTGGTGGGTAAAGTGAAGGAGCCTCAGGTGGAGACGATGGTGGACACTCTGTGCTCCAACATGCTGTCGGACAAGGAGCAGCTCAGAGACATTTCCAGCATGGGACTGAAGACGGTGATCGCTGAGCTGCCGCTGTCGTCGACGGGTGAGGACTCAAACCGACCAATCACAATCCTCTCATCCTCCATCTGGATGTTTAAATTCACAAACCAACATTTCGTCCGTCACTTGACTTTTGAAATCAGCCTCCAGCCTCTTGTTGTGTATGTTTCCAGGTTTGACGACCACTGTTTGTAAGAAGATCACCTCGCAGCTGATCGGGGCCATGGGGAAACAGGAAGACGTGTCGGTTCAGTTAGAGGCTCTGGACATCCTGTCGGACATGTTGGGAAGGTAACGATTAAACTCTTTCTCCGTGGTAACAGCCGGAGATCCTCAGTCTTTTTCGTTTTTAGTGGATCTCTTTACAAACACTTCCGCAGGTCCTACATTCAGTCAGACTCTACAACATTATAAATGAAAAAACAAACCCCTGAAATGTAAATAATAAATATATATCTCTCTCAGATTGAATGTAAAGTTTGTTTTTATTTTTCCTCCAGGCTGAGCGGTGCTCTGGTGAGTTTTCACAGCTCTCTACTGTCCAGCCTCCTCCCTCAGGTAAGAAATCCTCAGACTGTAACTTCATGTGTGAACAAGGTTTAATTTATCTCCTCTAATAACAGCAATAATAATATTGACTGAAAATTCCCAGTGTTGATCACCACCTGTAAAAATTTAACATATTTAAAAATCAAGCATGATCTGGAATCCACATGTTCCTTCTTGTTGAAACACTTCTTAACATCTTAACTTTTCTTTTGTTGTTTGTGTCTACGCTCTTCTCAGAGTCATCCTCAGTTGTTTCATCATATTATTTTTGTCTTGTTGATTTTATTTTGTCATTCATCGCTCGCTCCCTCCATCCTTCCACCTCCCTCTCCTTGAACTCCTTCGTTACCCATCGTCAGTTGACCAGTCCCAGGATGGCGGTCAGGAAGCGCTCCATCTTGGCCCTGGGTCACCTGGTGCCCTGCTGCAGCCCCGCCCTCTTCTCCCAGCTCACAGAGCACCTGCTGACGGAGCTGAACAAGGCTCCGCCCACCTCAGTGACCAGGACGTACATCCAGTGCCTGGCAACCATCAGTCGTCAGGGCGGCCATCGAGTCGGTGAGACGTGATCCTGCATGTGAGAGAACATCGGTTTAACATGTCATACTCATGTTTACTGGAAACTTACGTGTAGTAGTATTTGTTGACACACAAAGACAAATAAACTAAATACACTGGATATTGTACTGTGTGTGTGTGTGTGTGTGTGTGTGTGTGTGTGCTCTTCAGGTGAACATTTAGAGAAACTGATCCCCATGGTTGTTAAGTTCACCGGCGTGGAGGATGACGAGCTGAGAGAGTATTGTTTCCAGGCCTTTGAAGCCTTTATACGCAGGTAGACACACACACACACACACAGACACACACACACACTTGTTTCCCTCCTTATTACCTGAATCTCCCCTGATCTCCAGGTGTCCAAAGGAGATGTCCCCCCACATTGCCACAGTGACTAAGCTTTGTCTTCAGTTCATGACCTTTGACCCGAACTACAACTATGACGACGATGAGCAGGACGAGGAAGACAGCATGGACATCGAGGACGGACTCGACGAAGGTCTGTGTGAAAACCTCTGTTTTCTCTTCTCATCGTGTAGTGGAGCCGCCCACGCATACGCTCGACCAATCAGGCGTCCAGCTGTCAATCATGATGATTGTATCACCAAATAACTATGATAATATAATAATATAATAATAATATAATAATAATAACAACTAATTCAAACCAAACATGAACACAGACAGAATCTTTTGAAAAATGTATTGAACATGTACTTTGTTGTTTTAGTTTTGTCCATGTCCCATTTGCTAACATGGAGAAGGTGGAGTTTATGCAGCCAGACACAAGGGCAAGATCAAGATGCTTCTTTATTCCCTGTCTATTGTCTGTCATCTCGTGGCTCCGTCCAGAATCAGACGACGAGTACAGTGACGACGACGACATGAGCTGGAAGGTGCGACGCTCGTCCATCAAGTGTCTGGAGGCGTTGATCAGCTCGCGCCGGGACCTCCTCCTTTCCTTCTACTCCTCCATCTGCCCGGCTCTGCTAGCCCGCTTCAAGGAGCGCGAGGAGAACGTGCGGGCGGACGTCTTCGCCGCCTTTTCAACACTGCTGAGACAGACACGAGTGGGATCGAGTCCCCGCGGCCTCGTCGGGGCCTCTTCAGATCCAGGGTCGAGTAAGGCAGAGGAGGAGGAGCCGGCGGTGGCAGTGCTGAAGAAACAGGTAGAGAAAGATTCACGACCGGTGCTGATTCAATAATGTACATTTATAGGATGTCAATGTTTAAAGAAGAGACATGTTGGACCAGAACTCAATGGTTGACTGTAAGTAAAAATGGACGTGTACTCCGGAAAGTGAAGCCAATGCAGAAGTGCCTGATACCTGTATTCTCTGTGTGTGCGTGTGTGTGTGTGTGTGTGTGTGTGTGTGTGTGTGTGTGTGTGTGTGTGTGTGTGTGTGTGCAGGTGCCTCTGATAGTGAAGACTCTCCACAGGCAGCTGAAGGAGAAGAGCATTAAATCTCGACAGGGCTGCTTCGGTCTTCTCACCAAGCTCAGTCACACTGTACCTGGAGCCCTAGAACAACACATACCTGCTCTAATACCAGGTACACACACACACACACACACACACACACACACACACACACACACACACACACACTAGACGCACACACACTCTCTCTCCCCGTTCCTGCTATTATTTTTTCCTTATTGCTCTTAAGGCTCATTTATGCTCGAAGTTAGATTACAGAAAGGAATGTAGCCCTCTGTCTGACTCTCTAAAATTTCTACTGTGTGCAAATGCAGCATAAATAAGCCTTTTCATCTTAAGTTTCTCTTTCCTCTTCTCTCTTCTTAATTCCACCCTTTCCACTTTCTTTCTTTCAATTATTATTATTATTCTCTCTTCCTCTCCCTCCCTCATTCCTTCCTCCTCGCCTCCAGGTATAGTCTTCTCCCTGACAGACAAGTCCACGTCCTCCACCATGAGGATCGATGCTCTCTCCTTCTTCCACGTCCTCCTCCTCTCTCACCCTCCTCAAGCCTTTCAGCCCCACATGCAGGTTCTGTCCATTTGTTCCAGGACATAATGAAATCCAACTAAATTACACTCACGCAACCTTTTCTCACTAAAGAAATCAGGAGATGACAAGATTTAAAAAAAAACAATGGAAACAGCTCATCTGTTCCTCTCCGTGGTTTTTATTTTAATAGACACGCCTCCAATGTCCTCTCTGCAGGTGCTGCTGCCCCTGGTGGTGGCATGTGTAGAAGACACTTTCTACAAGATCACGTCGGAGGCTCTGCTGGTCACTCAGCAGCTGGTCAGAGTGATGAGGCCACACGGACAGAACACCGCCGCAGGGTTCGATGCCAAACCGTTTGTGAGAGAGGTACGAGGGCTCAGGTTCCACCGGGCTGCTTCCTCTTATTCTTTATTCTTATTCTTAGTCTTTATTCTTAGGTGTTTTCTGTGACGCTGAAGAGGCTCCAAGCGACAGACATCGACCAGGAAGTGAAAGAGAGGGCTATTTCCTGTATGGGTCACATGGTGTGTCACCTTGGCGACCACCTGGCGGCAGAGCTGCAGGGCGTTCTGGTGATTTTTCTGGAGAGGTTAAAGAATGAGATCACAAGACTGACGGCAGTTCGCACCATCACCCTTATCGCGGCATCTCCGATAAAGGTAGAGTTAATTAAAAGACATTTTTTATTAGATTTTCATGATTTTCATTGAGGTTGAGCTGGAATAATGAAGTAACTTTCCTCCCTGTGCTCCAGGTCAACTTGTCGTCCATCCTGCCAGAGGCCCTGTCGGTGTTGGGGTCGTTTCTGAGGAAGAACCAGCGGACGCTGAAGCTCGGCTCGCTGGCCTGTCTCACCGCGCTGGTGACTCATCACGCCGCCAGCATCAAACCTGCAGCTCTGGAGCCGGTTCTGAGTGAACTTCCTGCTCTGGTGGATGAGGGCGACATGCATGTGTCCCAGGTCGGAAGAAAAACACGGAAACAATCTGAACTCAACAACACACACTGATGCTAAGAATTACACAGAGGACTGATTTGTCTAAATTACGCCCTCTGATCTGGATCCACACCAAAATGTTATAAGTTCTTCACTGACCCATATTTAATCATTCTTCTAAGTTGAATGGAAATTCATGTAGTTTCTGTGTAAGAAACTTCAGACGACTGAAAAACAACCTCTTTAGCAGAAGTATTATTTCCCTGATTTCCATATAATCTTGATGACCCTTGAAGTTTTCTGTTTCCTAAAGTGCTTTGATAATAATTTGAATATAATATATTAACAGTGTTAAGTAGAATTGTCTCTGTTCAGGTATCCATCACCTTGCTGACCTGCATGGCCCGAGCCTGTCCATCCTCTCTGGCTAAGATCAGCTCCTCCGTGCTGCCGGGCGTCTTCAGGCTAGTCCACTCTCCTCTCCTGCAGGGCGGCGCTCTTGCAGCCATACTGGACTTTATCCAGGCGCTGGTTCTGTCCAAAACCAGCAACATGGGCTACAGGTACGACAGGAAGAGTCCGACCAGTTTACACCCGAATAGAACATTAGATCAGTTTTCTGGTGGGGAAGTGTTTTCGATCTGATGATGATCTTTAATGTTTGTGGTTCTTTTGTTTTATAGCTGATCTGAGATGACGTCTGATGTGTTTGAACAGATGTTGCAGAGAGAAAGTTTTTTCATGTGTAAGAATTAAAAATTGCAAGTGTGCAAAAATCCAGTCTTTCCCCTCAGGCTAGTAAATAAATTATTAAAGACAGGAACATTTTCCAAATCCCACATCACTGATTAGAAGTTAATTTTGAGAGAATAGCAGATCTGTTTCAGCTCATTAATCAAATCTCAAGTTTGTAAAAGTAGTTTATTCATATCCAGCTGATTACAAATTGATCCATACAGATGAACTCTAGAGACAGAGTTACTGTTTCAGTCTGTGAATACATTTATAATCTGTTTTCACTGAAGCAGCTGTTACATCTGAGAGAAAAAAAGAAACCTCATCATGGTGTCTGGTGCGAATCCCGGGTCGCCTCGAGTCTTTCTGTATTGAGTTTGCCTGTTCTTCTCGTGTCTGTGAGGCTTTTCTCCAGCTTCCTCCCACAGTCCAAAGACGTGCAGGTTGGGGTTTGGTTAACTGGAGACTCTAAATTGTCCAAAGGTGTGAACATGAATGTCAGTTTGGGGCAGACACAGTTGTGGATGCTTTGACCTTGCACACATTTTTAAAATGTTAAAGTTTGAGTTCCTGAGAG